ATAAATCAATCCTACAAAACTTCGACGCTTTGGAAATCCATGAATTCCAATGTATATATCCAGTCACTGGATTCGGTCACTACGGTGGTTTTACTTATCGCAGGAAATCCAGTTATCACACAACCCGAGAATCCCGTGCTCACAGTTCACTCACATCCTCCAAATACCAGGCTGCTGGACTCTGATACTCTTACTTACACATACATATTATGCGCTGCTCGTATATCATGCGCAAGCTCAGTCATATACGCACATGATTTGCATCATTGCATCCTGTGTACACTTCCCGAATGACTTGGGCCAGAGAATTGTCTTTTGTGCTATAAAATTAGTTTTCTGCCGTCCTATGCATTGCTTAAATTGAGTTAATTGGACTAATTTAAATATATTGAATTATTTTAATGATTAGTTACGTATAAGTTTTAGTCCATGAATTATTTTAATGTGAGTCGCTGGTCTTTAGGAATTAATAGAATGGACAAAACGAAGCTGTTTATTCACTAATTGGACGAGAGTTTACGTAAAATAAGTAAGCATTTGTTTTGTAATTTTTTGTTTGTTTTTTCTTTGTTTTTTTTGGGGGGGGGGGCGGATACGAGAATTTGATTTAAATAAAATTAGACGATATTTTCTTTCGCAGCTTATAGCCAAAATCATAATTAGGTCGCCAATATCGAGTATTTAGGGTGGTAAACGAATTATTAATGCGAATAATAAAAGAAATTTTTTAAAATTTTACCCAATATTCTGTACGATATAGGGTAGATTATATTATATACTCTAATCAGATAAGCGCGATTTGCGATAATTTTTTCGTTTGCTTTTACATCTATTAAGCGGGTATATTAAGGCCATCTTTCGCGACAGTTCTGAGAACTCTTTCTTTATGAGAAATGATCGTTGCGACATCAATGTACTCTTTCATTCTAAGTTTGTCACAAGCTTAACGTCAGCAGGTAGACGTTATGCGAGAGCTGGAAAAGCGAATTTCCGTCGTAATTGGAAGCGATTGGATCGACGTTTTAAACACGCGCGTTTCCGCAATTCCTACTAGTCTGATTTTTTACTTTCCCCTCTTCATCATTGTGCTACTATATGTTCTTTTTTAAGCCTTTACAATCATCCTCTCTCTCTCTCTCTCTCTCTCTCTCTCTCTCTCTCTCTCTCTCTCTATTTTTCAATTTTACCGGTTCTCTTTACATATAGCTTTATTCTCCTCGTTTCTGTTCCCTTTCTTTTTACTCGTCTCTTGGTTGGCATTCCTTTTTTTTTTTTTGACCCTTTTAAAATACCTTTTATACATTGTACTTTAATATTTCAAGATATTTATTTTTACTTGGTACTACTGGCATCTAATTATTGCTTTCTATATATGTATTTTATTCTAGTTTTAAATTTATTGTTAGTTTTATACTAGTAGTATAAGAAAAATGAATAAGAAAAAGAGCTTTATTATGGCATATCATAGTAAAATTGAAATATACCTAGATATTTCAATTTGTACACTTAGAAATATTTATTTATTTATAAGTATAATAGTTTTGTTAAGCAACAGTCGAACTCTTATAATTTCATAAAATCAATTTTGAAATTTGATGTAAAATTTTTTGTAGAGATTAAATTTATATTTTACACGAAACTATTTCAAATTAATTAGTTTATTTTGGATACGATATAATTCGATAACAATTTGAATAATAAAATTATAAGTCTTCATTTCATATATGTCTAACATTAATTATGTATAAATAATGAAATATGGATAATATTCTTATAATAGAATACATAAATAGTTATAAAAATACCTTGGTTGAGAAGTAATATGAGGCAATAAGAAAATTAGAGATCGCATTTATCCGAGGAATAGGGAGTGGTAAAATTAAGAAAACGGCAAAGATAAAAAATATTGTGAAAAAAAAAACTAGGAACCAAACGCAGAACCACGTACGTGAATTGACGCAACTTGTTTTCAAGTAGCACCTGCAGAAGACAAGGAAATAATTCGAAACTTTTGTCGACAGTAGAGATAAACGACGGCGAAATGCGGCCCATACTAGATAACGTTTTCTCTGTCTTTTCATTTCTATCCAACGTCCTATTTTCTTCTATAACAGCCACTCATGGCAGCTATCCGTTAGCGTGACTCAACTTACTTACACATTTTTCCCTCTATCTACTTAAATCAGTGACGAAAGATGCGAGTTAAGGCGGTAGAAAATTCTATATAAGTTTTGTGGAAGTTTTCGCGAGCGAAAAGTATTTTATTAGTCGTCTGTTTAGAAAACACATTCGTATTTCGACATTTATCTTTTAAGACACCATATATATATATATATATATATATATATATGTATATATATATATATTGATACACTGCATTAATGAAACACATAAAAAAAATTATTTAATAATCATTTCTAAGTAATGTATGTAATGTTCTAGGCAATGTATGTCTATCTATGAAGAAATATTACACATATTCAAGTTTATACCAAATATGAATTAATGATTTAGTTGATGAGAAGTAGATACATAATTTAATTTCGACTTTAATAATATTTTTAATTTATGCGAAAACTAATTATAATTTTATTTTTTCATGAAATACAAATGTACGGAGGTAATAAAAATTAAAAATTCAATGTATTTTGCTTTCATTGAAGTTAGTAATTGAATACCGTTTGGCTAATTGAATAATTGATATTAACAGAGTCAATTGAATATTTTGAACTGATCCTTTCAAAGAAATAACGAAATTTAACAAATATAAATATTTATTATAAATTTTATAACAAATTAATGTATTTACGCTCGTTTATTACACGTGTAATTAACACACGTTACCACTGTATTTCATTAAAATTTGTAAAATTTTACAGATAATCATTTGATTGAAATAGTCTCTATCACTGAATGAATTAAAAATTTTATTGCATTTCCTTCTCATGTTTTCTTTCTTCGAATTGCTAAGCAAACCATTTAAACGTTTAAAAATACAAATTACGATTCAAATATAACAATACTAAAATGTAAATAATTTCTATTAAAATTTTTTGGATTATCGCTGTGAAATAAATTATATGTAGTCGATAAAATACATATGAATTGATCTCACTACATTCTTTTCCAGTCAACTGTCCGAAACAATTTACAAATCTATTTTCGTCAAGAAATCTAACTTTTTATTGTTATTTCGTATTATTTCATAATGTATATTACCGTTTTATATACAAGAATTATGAAATTAAAAAATTAATTCTACAGCGATATTTATTTTAAATTCCTTTTAATTCTAACGTAAAGTTTTTCGATGATAAAGTTTTTTTCAACGTACTATATAATTTTGGAACATAATTTTTAGTCCTTTTTACTATTTATTATATTTCAACACAAATTTTCCGCAATAGTTATTTGTTAAAATTCTATAAATTTTACCCCATAATTATTATTTCTTTAATTAATTTTATATTTATAAAAATAATTAAATATATACAATTTTCAGATGTATTTACATCTAGGAAAGTAAATAGTAGTAACACCATTGAATATAATAATAACTGGAATTGTCATTAAAGAAATGAAGACAATAATAAACAAAACCTTAGCTTTCCATAGTATTAATATAATTCGATATTTTTGAGCGAATTTAATGTTTCAATTCAATTGTATCCATTATAATTTTGAACGCTTTTTTATTTACATATAATCTAAACGATTAATTTCAATTTATCTTGCTACATTAGCTCTTCTCTTAAATGATTTGAAATTCTTTGAACCAGGCAATGGAACATCAAGAGAAATGTTTGGTGCTATTGTATTATAACACAGTGCACGATATGTGCTTGTGTGTGTGTGTGTGTGTGTGTGCGTGTGTGTTTGTGCGTGCATGCGTGCGTGCGTGCGTGCGTGCGTGCGTGCGTCTGCATATGCCTGCGGATGAACATTAACTTATAAATGTGGTCAGAATTTATGAAACGCCTGTTTAGATATTGAATAATGACTACCAATTAAAGAATCGAAATTATTGATTCAAATAAAAAGAAATGGCAAATGGTGGACTGAATTACCGAACCGTTGTTAAACGAACACTGGATTTCACTTGCCCAAACAGTTTCAACAACGCGCGATCGCTAACAAAAGCTAGACAACCGTGGGGGTAGAATCTATGTTGAACATTTTGCATTTATGTGAATGTTATGGATTTGTCCCACATAGTCGAGCATATAGCAGCTTTAACTTGCTTTGAATAATTAGGTGAACTCCATGGCACCTTGTCAAATGCTTCAATAAATTCAGGCTCAATCCTACTGTACTTCAAAGCGATTTTGATCCAATGATGTGGCAGCAATGTTTCTTTAGCTGAATTTTCATTGGGTTGTATTTGCCTCGTCTCTCGTCGTTTATCCATTGCCAAACATAAATTCTGTATTTAATAAAATTTTATTATTTCATTATTTATTATATTATTTATAAGTCTAAAAATGCAGATAATTGTAATTAAATTTGCCAAATCAATATTCGATTAAAATACATGCCATTATATATATATATATATAAATTTCATATTTTTATAGAAAGAATAAAGTCATTTTATTGACAATTTACATCCCTAAAACTATTACTATTATTTCATATAAATTTTCAAACTCGTATAATTAGAATATAACTACTCTCTCTCTCTCTCTCTCTCTCTCTCTCTCTCTCTCTCTCTCTCTCTCATTTTAAATACATTTAAATACAATAAATTACAAAGTATAATTAAGAATAAGCAAATTAATAACAGAATGAAAAACATTCGTATCTTAACATAATCTGTTACTTTATTTTTAACTGACTTTAATATCATTACTATATAGTTAATAATATTATCTTAATATAAAGGACAAATAATAATTGTTACTTCCTTCTTCTTCTACTTCCTACCGTGTTGAACATTTTTTTAAATAAAAATTGTTTGAATATATACATTTTCATTAATATTACAATATTTTTTCAGAGTAAAATTATAAGAAAAGGTGAACGATTTGATGAATGGACATGAGTTGAAAATTGGATATGATGTTGAAAACATATACGGCCATTATGGCCGTTCTATTATTACATTTTATTGGAATATCGAAAGCCATAATCTCTTCAGGTCAGTATAATATTTTTATTGCAATAACCATTACAATTGTAGAAATTATTTATATTTATTATTGAATTTAATAATTAATTTTTTTTTAATATTTACGAAAGCTAAGATAAGTTTTAAAAGACAACTAAGAACGATAAGATTTATCGATCTTATAAACAAACTTTGCAACGATAATTTTCTAAGAGAAGTATGAAATAAAATTTACATTTATAATCTGTTAAGATTCCATAATAAATAATAACATTAGAAATAGGAATATACAAGTCTTAGCATTCCATAATTTGTATTTATTGATAAATTTAAGATTAATAATAAAATAAATAAATAAAAATAAATAGATACATAAGTACAAAAACTATAAAAGAATTATAGAAAACTTTCGGGAAAATATATTGTAAAATAAATATAATTATTTTATTAATCAATTAAATTGTGTACGAATAATTATTATTGTGTTAAGAAAAAAGAGATATTGAAATTGAAATTAATATTATTCAACTCTTGTTATACTAAATAAGGTATGTAAAAATGTCAGAACTAATTTTTTCTTAGTTATTAACAAACCGTTAAATTAATTGCACTATTTATAATAAATACAAAGATATATTAAGTCTTTATCTTAAGTCATTTCAGAAAATAGTAATTAAATTATAATAATTTAAATCACTAAGGCGTATGGCAATTCTTTTTATTGTTACATTTAAATATACAGACGTAAATTAATTTAAGTGTATAATTAAATATATAAATAATTTAACAATAGTGAAAATGATCAAATTCAAAGAAACTATTTTATAAGTTTGGAACTAATCGAAATATGAATAACGAACGAATAAAATATAATACATTGTTACGTAAATGATTACAACGTATCAATATAATTAACATAAGTGGTCATAATTTACAAATCATATTCAAATAAAATAATTTGTAATAAAATCAATAAAAATTAATTAAATTATCAAAATTCAAAGATTATCGGAATAACTGCAATTTAATTTTAATTATATTATAGATAATATATTCATGAATATTATTATAATAATAATTATTCAATTATCATGAGTGTACAAAGGATTTTATTAAATTATTAACATTGTGATTTATATGTACAGATTAATAGATTTGAATCACTTAGTAAGAAACTAGTAAAATGATATTAAAATTTCATTTAAAGGAGATAGGTGATTTTTTTTTCTTCATTATATTAAAAATCGATGAGATTGACCAGCTGATGTGTAGATTTTGATTGTAAATTCTTTGAGTAAAGTAAATAGAATTATATTTCATTGCTCTGTTAAATTGCAAGAGCTAACGGAATTTAAAGATTTTCTTATAATATTTGAAAATGTATGACCTATTTCAAAATTACTCAAACGTTGCTCCACGAGTAACGGATTTCTTCAAACTTGTCCCAATGGTTACATAGAAGATCTATATCAAAACTAGTCGTTACGAAATTTTGAAATCGTTGTTATTTTCGTTTCAGTTCTTTTTACTCAAAAATTTCGTTAAAATCTTGCACGTTAACCAACTGTGAAACTGCCTGCGATATTTCACGTGGAAAACGCAGCGAAGCATGATGAATTGTTACTAGTTCAACTATTATACATTCATTTCAATATCTTGATTTTTATTCATACAATTGCAAGAAGTTTCCTGTAATGCTCATGTGTATCATTACATGAATTTTAGTTTAAGTGAATTATTATATATATATATATATATATATATATAGACGTAATACATACACGTGTCCAATGTTTATAATACGGCTTAGTATAGCAAACAAATTGAAATTGAAAGATCCCCGTGAAATTTGAGTTTCATAAATCATTTAATTTATAGTTAAGTTTTTAATTTTTATGAGTATATTTTAATACTTGTTGAGTATTGCAATATTTTTAAAATATATTTATAAAAATTTGTTTAAAAACTAGTTATATAATTATTAGTGCGTAATAGTAGTAAAATATATTCATATTAGTAATAGAAATTATTTAAATGATTTTAAAATTAATTATGTAAATGAAAATTTAATTTTAATTTTAATGGCGTAAAATTATATTATTAAAATAGACAATCTTCGGGTGAAAATGAAATATTCAATATCGTTATTAGATAGAAAAGGCAGAAAAGAAAATTCATGACAGACATTATTTTAACAAAGTATTTTGAACAAATTATAATAACATTAATAAATTGTTTATTATCTAAAGAACTTAAGTATGTTTAATTAGGTATAAAAAATAAATTTAACTAAATGACTGAATTACAGCATTATTTATAATTTGAAAAATAGTAAAACAAATAATATTTAAAAGAACGAGTATTGTGAATTCTTTGATATTGAAATTAATTTTCTAAACTACATTTTTTATCGAAGAATTATATAAAAATTTTTATACTAATCCTAGATAAAAGAATATATTTTTATTATTTAATATTACAAAAATTAAATGCTAAAATGCATATGCAGTATATTTTACAAAAATTTTCAAAAACATTTATTAACCTTTCATTTTTTAGTTAAGATGATGAAAAATACAAATATTGCATATAGTATTAGTATATGTAGATATAATTTATTTTTAATTTATAATTTGATATATATAAATATATAGAATTTCATAGAAATAAGGAAAAATTTTTTGTTAATAAAATATGTGAATATTTAATGTATTATTCGTATTTATAGGGAATAATAACGATACGTAATATTTGTTTCGCGATGATATACTCCAACGAAATATTATTGCTATGGTTTGCATTCAATCAAAGATTGTATTATCAAGATAAACAAAGAACAAATAAATATTCAGCTAAAATTTAAGAAATATGTATAATGTATTTTAAATAATTTATTATAAAAATGATAACGTTAATTCTTGTTAATAATAGAATTGATTTTGTATTGATATAAAATATATTATTTAGACTTAACTTCACGACTTTATATTTTGATAAATAAAATACGAATGTAATAAAATTGAAAACTATTCAGAATAATTAATAAAAGAATAATATTAATACGAATTTATTCAATTTGTAAAGTAACAGTCAAGGTCATATATTTTATTAGAAGGTTTCTACAGCATAGAGACGGCTAAAATATATTTAAAAAGCCAAATACAAAGCCTTGAAGTCTATGACATTTTGTCGCTTAAAGTATCATCTTATCGAACTAATACTAAAGCACATGCTACGTCACGTAACTCGGTAACCTGCAGAAACAGCACATTAGTTTGGCCGAGTGTGCTGTTCACTGATAAGGACAGTAAGAGGTAGAGAGTGAAAGAGAGAGTGAAAGAGAGAGAGATAGAGCGAGAGCGCGGGTGAGTGCGCGACGGGGAGAGGGGAAGGAATAGTGAGAGAAAGTGAGTAGGTGAAAAAGAGACGAAAGAGAGAAAGAGAGAGAGAGAGAGAGAGAGAGAGAGAGAGTGGGAGAAATGATTTCTGCTAAGTTTGCTTTTCCGGATTAAAAACGTCTTTCAATGTTATGCTTCGTAAAAGTGTTTAGTAGCAGTGAATTTCCAGATTGGAGAGAAAAGATTTAGGAAGTTATGTATGTCAACACTCAAGAGAGGTTTCGGAGAATGTTTAATCCGATTGAGACTTGGCTCGCTACTGAATTCGACGACGCATTGTTGTAAAAGTGTAGAGTAATGAATCGACAAATCGGATCATGAAAAATATATGTTATTCGGTATGTATTTTTTGAGATAATATTTTCTATCGCTGGTACTTAAAATGTTAGGAGTAATTCTAGAGATTCATATTGTATTAGGCGACATATGATGCATAATGTGGTTTAAACAAATCGAATAAACTGATATTGATTTTCCTTAAATATTATGGAAAATATCAGATTACATTTATCTATATATATATATATATATATATATATATATATATATATATATATATATAGTACTGATATGGTCACACGAAGGATAACATTTTATGATTATTAAATTATACTATTAATAAATATAGATTGAATTTATAGTATAAATCAACTAATTTAAATTTATATTCATTTTGCGTTACGAATTTTCGAAAGTTTTAAAAAGTAAGAATTTTTATTTGTGATTCAATAAGAATATAATACAATAATTATAATTCATTATTGATTTTTCTTCTTGAAAGTTTAATATGATTTATATGGATGATAAGGAAAGTTCAATTGATAGGGAGTTGTGTAGAAAAATATTATAATTTTATATTCTTAAGTAATAATTTTTAACTATTAATTAATTACACGGTAAATTAATAAAATTGTTTGCATCTTTTATAAAAGCTACCAATTGTAATAATTCTATAACGATGCATTCGCACGGATGATTTAATTATCATGTTGAATTATTTAAGAACAATTTAATAACAAAAATTGAATAATAGAAAACAAGAATACAATAAAAAAATTAACAATTTGCATAATGTAATAAAACAATTTCTTGAATAATTACATTAATAATTAAAAGTTGATAATATTGTGTTCAATAAGATAATTCAAGAAATTCAAGATAAGACAAGAAGACATAAAAAAATATTAGGATATTATAATATACATGTATTATATTTACTAATTATTTAATAATTATTGAAATATTTCATAATAATTTTAGCGTGACGAAGAGTAATACTCGCTCTTGAATTATAATAATTCGACAGTATAAACAAAATATCAATTATTAATTTTATAAATTGACCTTTTTGTATTTTGCAGTGAAAACATAGAAATCGTTATTACAATTTCATTAGTTATTTTATTAAATATTCTTATAATAGAATATATAGAAGTATAATAATCATTTACGTTATCAAAATATTGCAAGTTGCGTGTCTGCTTGAAAATCTGCGTTTTCATACACGTGTCCTACCATCAAGAATTTCCATACACAAAACAATAATGTTCCAAGTAAATCGATAATTGATTAATATTATTGGCAGATATGGTGGCGCGAACTTGATTCTAACCTCACCTTTGATATGAATTATTGTAAGAATCATTGTTCTCCCGACAACTTATATTATCCGATAAATACAAGATTTTGTTAAAATACTAAATAAAGCTTATAAATCTTCATAATAATAAAATATATGCAAATTTTTGTTTCTCATTTAAATGGGAGTAATATCATTCTGACATGTGTAAATATCAACGAGAATATGTAAGCTTAGTTTGATTGACAGGCAGGTGACATTCATGCAAAAGAGCCCATTACAGAAAATTTTGCTTACATTGCAGGTGGCAAGCCATTTCCAGGGCTTGAAAATCTGCCCAAGTCCTTTTGGCATGAGTTGAGCTCTCCTTTCACCGAGGTGAGTGATTTAAACGAGCAATTTATTTTCTAAGCTTATGGAGAGCCGCGTCCATTGTATAATGAAGTTAAGTGGTGAAAAGTTTTGATATTCCATTGGATCGAATGTTTCGTCACTTTTATAATCGTCGATAAGTTACGAATAATATAATAAGTTTCGTCATAATTGCCCTTCTCATGCCTCTGAGATAAATCACATTGGTAATTTTCAAATGACATTTATAATTAATCGAGAGGTGATTTAAATATATGGAAGGCGTTAGCAAAGTATTGCTTTTTTTATTTTTTTTTTATTTATTATTTAATTCATTTGATTTTTATTGCTTAACTAATTTTGAACAATTGTTTATAATATTATTTTATGTTTTCTTTTTCTTTTTTTTTTTTTTAATACACTGAGTCGCTTGTATAATATTTATGTATTTTCAGTTTTTGTTTGTTTGTTTATTAATTTTTTATTATTATGAATTACAGATAATAAGATATAAATTATTATTAAGATTCTCAGCAAAGAATTGTAAATGCAAGAAAAGCAATAATTTTCTACATATTTTGTAATATTTTCATATGTTTTCCAAAATATTTCGTATATTATCTCGCGTGTAAATAAATTAAATAATTATCTTTTATACTTGCCTATATTATGTTTTAATTTTATTTATTATAAACTCAATTTACCATTCAACATACATTGTTAAAATTTTAGAAAATCATATCGAAGAAAATTTTTAACAATATTATGTCGATTTTTAATATCATCGTAACGTAACAGGATTGATAAATGTTTTAACACAATATCCGATTGTAAAATGTTTAGTTATTTATTTTAATCCAAAAATTAGAAGTTGCGATTGTTTTTCTCGAATATATATTTGAAAAATATATTACTCGTGCGTGATACGTTGATGATGGAAATTTATTAAAGTGCAACATGTATTTTCCAAATAAATAACAAAAAATAAAATACTTTATTCACATTGTATCTCCATCACGATGAGTTTCGTAAAAAGCAGCAAGCAACGGTCAGATTAGATTTTTTGCACTTTAAACGAAAGTTAAAAATTCTTGACGTTGTAGGTATATGAAAGAATGGCGTGTGCATATGCACCTTAGATGGTGCAGCTCAGTAGCTGAAAGCGGGCCAAGTTCCTATTTCCTCGTAATATAAAAAATAAATTTTCAGTATTGCTTAATGTCTCTTTACGGTGGTCTTTTCCTCGATACTTTCAGGTTTACGAAGAGGAGAGTTTTGCCACTGAAACTGGAGCGACTCCTGAGCCGAGACCCTTCTTCGAAGATCCTGACAGTAATATAACAGTGCAGCTTGGCGCTCAAGTTTATCTGCATTGTCGAGTGCAAAATCTTCAAACACGAACGGTGAGTTCTTTGTAATACAATATTTATTTTAGTGGCCGTTAAGTTGTTAAGCCGTTAAGTAGTCGCCGTTAACCGAGCGACTCGTTACAATTATCCCACATTTTATTAAATATTTTACGGATGTGTAGAAGCTCGTGTCTCTTCTCGTTATACTTTCTACTTTATTTAGGCGCACATTTCTAGCACGTATTAGAGCAATTATTCAGTACTTTCGTTTCATTATAAATCATTGTATCATGGAAAATAATGTTATTGAAGTAAAACATTCAGTTTTACAGTTTGCAGTAAGTTGGCGAAAAAAAAAAAAAAAAAAAAAACAGTTATTGTATTTCGATCATAAGTCGATTTTCGTAGAATCTCGCATTCGAAATATGTTTGTTCATATTCGATTTATACATCTAATTGACAATGTAAGCATGAATAAAAAATTATGATTGTTATCAACTTTCTGTATGGTTAGAGCATTTTATTTATTGAATTCCTATGAATTTTTATTAATAAAATTAAACTGGTCTTACGATAAAAATAATTTAATATTAAATCAATAAAGACATAAAATATAGAATATAGATTAATAAGATATTTTTAATGAATTCATCTACTTGCAATATAAAAGTTTTCTTTTTTTTTTTTTAATTAACACTTACATTTGAAATAATCAAATTAGTATTATAATTTTTTTTTCAGACACATAATTTAAAAACATGAATTGAAATCAATCAATTAGTTAAAACATGTATTACTTAATTTTATATTTGGAAAAAAAATTTTGTATTTTACATTTGAGAAAGTTAATGCAGCGGAAATTTCAAATAAAATCCTATAGTATAATTATAAATTATTATCCAGCTACTGCTACTATACTATGCAGTATTTACTTTCTTTGATTTATTATTATTGCTTTATTGTTGAATAATTAATTTCTTTTTGAAGAGAAACAGTCATTACGTATTAGTGGTCAATAAATGCATGCAAATTCAGTGTTCTGGAGTAAAATAAAATATAGGATTATAGAAGATTATTGTTGTTATGAAGCCGTCCTTACCCTATTATTAATCCTTAAACATCATTTATCAAAGCATATTGTTAGATCTACATTCATACACCAAAAATTTCTATAAATATAACGATAGCTGGTCGTATGGTGAAACGAGTCTTCTTTAAGTAAACTTTACAAGTCGACTGAGCCAACCCCGCTAGCCAATAATACTTTAGCATCGCTGCAACCGGATTAAATGACTCAAGAAGTACATTCAACTCAGTCAGACCATTCAACAAACTCAGCCCATTCACATTCTTGCAGCGTTGACAAAAAATTTTCGAAGCGCGAATGCAAAATAAAGCATATCCCTTATCGCAATTGAAAGTCTATTAATTTTTCTATATTATGATGTCGACTTCGATCCTACAAGTTATCTGCCACGCATAGATATGCCAATTCAAGCCAATTCAAGACTCAAATTTAAAATTTAAGTCTCGTAGACATCGAGTCTTGAAATTCCGTTATTTTTATAATAAGAACAAATATAGAAATAGAAATGCCGCTCCATCGGAAGGACGTTGACTGAAAAATTGACAACTGTGACGGTGCATTTTATAATTTAACAAATATATATTTTTATTTCATTTGGCAATTTTGAGCTGCATAATTACATTTCAAAAACGAGATATTTCGTGCTACATTAGTTTCAAAAGTCAATGCAATAATAGTACAAAGCAGTAATTATACAATTATAGTTATAAAAATACGAAAAACTGAATATCTATAATAATTCTTACAATAGAATTCTTAAAAGAGACGTCAGAATTGAATATGAAGACATTTTATTATTCTAGTGGCTTAGATATATATATATATATATATATATAATCAAGTCTCAACGAAATCGATTTGTATTTTGTAAAAACTGTACGATACTACATTGTACATCAGCCTATTGAATATTCGATTTATTCTATTTATTTAATATTTTCATTGCTAACTCGAAACTTTATATTTTTGTACATTTAAATTTAACAAGGAAATTAATATATTTTCTCCAATTATTTCCACGAATTAAACAATTATCCGAATAATATTTTAATTAATTTTCTCCTCTACCGATTTATAATAATTTTTTCTTCCCACTCTGTAATCTTGCATATAACTGTTGCAATGGGCTGCTATCTGGTGTATTTAGACCATTAAAGATGTGAGTTTTATTCGCTAGGGATTGAACCTCAAATGTCACTAAGCGGCTGACACGTCGATTATTATCGGCCATCGGTCGGTCGAAATGTTTCCTGTTTCATCATTATAAAGGACGCTTGTCGCGCGTAATTTGCTTGCTGATCCTTTGAGCACTAGTGGAAAGCAGGCGATCGCATAAATGTTAATCGCGGTTTAACGTCGACTCTCTCCTACCCAAAACATTAAATTTTTCGCTGTCAGCAGTGTGTCGGATACTTGTAAGGAAAATTTTATTGTTAATAAATATCCGTTAATATGAGAGCATAAGTAACATCATGTTCTGTTACGATTTTTTATAAATTTGAAATTTTACATCTACATATACTGCGTTATATTTGTTATTATTATTGTCGTGACGATGATGAATGGGTATTTACAATAAGTTAATACATATCTGAAAATTTGGTACTAATTTTTAATTACTTTTATTCAAATTCAATTAAATACAAATTTTTATTGAAAGTGAAATATTACTTTTTTAATCTATTCTTAAAATTGGAATACATTCAATTACAAAGTACAAAAGATTTCCATCACTTGTATTGATTAAAATAATACTGACAAATTGATGAAATAAAAAATGAAACAACACATCGAACATAAAAACATTGTATTCCAATTTAATTTTAATTTTATTTAAATAGATGTGAGCAAATTTACACGAAACGCCATTCTTTTGTCAAAAAATCGTATATTGCTTTAAGAAAATTATTTATAAAAGCAATATCTTTTTTCGTATTATTAGGTTGCCTTATATATATATATATATATCATCTAGAATATATATTTTTGCTATCGTATTCCTTATAAATGTTAAGGTATCTTTTTTTTGGTAGATGAATAGATTTAGATATTCGTACATTTGAATAGTTGAAATATTAAAATTTTGCTCAATCTTTAGATAGCATTGCAATTTCTTTTCTTCGTATAGTATTAATAATGAAATTCTATAGAATTAAAAAAACATTAATTAATAGTATCATTAGAGTTAATTTCTTGTTAACTGACATGTTTCTTTTTAACCTTTTTCTTAAATACTTTTGATTCGTTTTATTTGTTTCCAATTTTTTTTTTTTTTTTTTTTTTTTTTTTTATAATTTATTTTATCGTTATAACTATTATTGGTTATTCAACTAGAGTATACTGTATTATTATATTCTATACTAAATTATTTCACACTTTTTATTTAAAACTAAGAAATTTTAAACTTTCATTTATACGTTAATTGTATGGTCTACCTTGTTAGCTATCAATATCTATGTTTTATAAATGATGATAATTTTTGTAAAATAGTATATGCCTTCGTTGCTTTTTATTAGTAAGAAGTTTTAACGTACAATCATATTTATCTTGTAAATATAATTTTTATATTCAACGGTATTATCTCTTTTCTCTCGTAACGTTATTGTGAGTTTTTGAAAGAAAAAAATTGAAAAAAAAACATTTTTTATCATATTATTTTTCAATATATGCTAGATAACAGAAAGCAAAAGCTTTAAACAAGATCAAACTATTTTTAATGCAAGAGATAACGATGGTAGTTTTTATAAGGAAACATATAGATATGCTAAAGTAGTCGTTTAAATATTTACATTTTGTAGTAGTCTAGTGTGGAAATGATTTAACAATAATTATTTATTTATTGAAATTTACAGAATAAAATTTGTCTTCATTTCTATCAATCTTTTTCTGTAATAGTAAATTAATTAAAAAGTTTTTAATGGCTATTGAATTGACAAATACGTTCGAATTTGAGAATATAAATATATAAAGTTGTTTTTTTCTATTCCATTGTAACCAACTCAATTGTAAACTACTTTTATTTTCCATTTGATGCACTTGTATTTATCGTTATTACATCTGTTGTTAACTTGAGACATGGAAGTATACATCTTATACAACTGAGATACAACGCATCTATCGACTGTATTAATCGTTAAATGCAATTTTATAGCATTAAATGGATTTCTAAAATAACGATTGATATTTTGTTTTGGGAGCTCTTTAAAGTGATAAATGATATTAAATTTAAATGAGCTTAATATTGATAATATACATATAAATTTAAATTAGAGTTTTGATGAAAAATTCATTTTCATTTCCATTGTAATTTTAAAAAGAAGAGAAATCGTAGAGCTCAAAATTTTAATGGAACCTATAATTACTTAACACTATTAAGAGATGACGGGATAATTGAAAATTATAATGAATGAGAGACTAGAATAGACGATGAATAAAATGAGTTAGTTTGCAAACAAAGGAGGATAAAATCTACTCACCAAGATGTTGATAATGTTAATGAGCCGTTAAATACTCATCGACTCTCAATAGCTCCCAAGCGGAGTCGGCTGTGTCAGACGCTGCATTTTGATCATCCGCAGGGGCTTAGGTGTGATCGCTAGATGCCCGGGTCAATAACCCGACTCGCGTGTTTTTCTCCCTTCGGCTTTAGCGTCTCGTGGCCGCGAGTCTGCAATTCCGTAATCGAAATTAGCTCGAACGAGCGATAATCGAATTATTAAACTCAGCGGCAAGTGCCATATTTTGCAATGATGAATTTTATATCTTTCTCGATACTTTTTGACAATTACTGTATCACCATAACTGCAGCTCGGAAAAAAGGTGTTTAGTGCCAATGAATTTTTATGAATGGCAATCGTAAAGCCCATTAATAAACAAACGAGGCCCCTAATCTAGAAGGATTTATGCCTAATTTTTCAAGGCCTCGTAGAGCATTGGAAAATATTAATTGAAAAAGTTAATGGTCGTA